TATAATAATACATTTGACATGGAATAATTTCAGATGTATTAAGTAGCTTACTGTTGTTTTTTGTTTTTCTATAGCAAACACTTGGTAAATTCTTTCAGTTGATTAACTGATATAGTATCTCAGAAGATAACCTTTGAAAAATATTTATATAATTCTTATTATGTGCCAGGTACTATTTTAAATGGTTTATGTATATTAGCTCATTTAATACTCACACAACCCAATGAAGCATTTAGTGTTATAACAGATGGATCAACCAAAACATGGAATAATTAATTAGGTTGTGTATGGTAAACAGCTGGTAAGTGGTGCATCTGGGATTGGAATCCAGACAGTCTGGCTTCAGAGTCAGCAATTTAAACCACAATGCTATGCATAATTCAGTTTGTGTTTTCTGGAATTTGTTGTCTCTTTCAAATGATAGAAATTTTAATGATAATACATGACAGGAAGTCCTGAGGAGAGAAATAAGAGATCATATAAAGTTGTTGCACCTCGATATTTGCAGTAACTTAAAATAATTTAACCCTGATGTTTATCACATGCAAGCAGGATTTAGAAGCATGCTTACATTACCTTTTATTCACTCAACATCTTTGTATACTGATTATATGGCAAGTACTTTCCTACAAGAGGAGGGTAAAAATATGAAAGTCGTGCTCAAAAAAATTTAGAGCAAGTTTGCCAAAATGGCAAACATGGGTTCCATTGAAAAGAGAGACCCCTCTGTAAGAACTTCCTTAGATAAGCATAGTTTGAGATATTTAAGAGAAAAAAAGGTAAATATAAATGAAATAAAGCAAGAAGCTAAATTATTTATTTTGATTATTTGCTGACTTGTTCTTTTTTTATGCAAAGTAGAGACCTATTTTCGTTTCTGGGACAGTATCCCAGGATTTCTTTTTCTGTTGGATTTGAGCAGTACAGATAAAATGTAGATGTGATAGATAATTTTGAGCATGATAACTTCAGGGAAATTCGTGAGGAATGAAAAAGAACATGATACATCTCAGAGTTCATTAGTTGTCATTTTTCTTGGAATATAAAACAGAGGAAATAAAATTGAAGAGTATTCAAAAGTAACAGGGCAGGGGATTATCAGCACAGTAAACATGGTTATAAGACTTCCATTCTGTTTGTGGAACCAGCTTGTATATGACCATAAACAAAATATGTGTGGGCACTGGCGTTTTTCACTACCTAATTCCCTGAATGGTAAAATAAAAGTAAAACCAAGATAAAATCAATAAAAATATCAAACTAATACCAAATATCACAGTCAATAATATAGTTTCTTTTAGTTTTTAGGTTATTGTTTAGTTGCAAGTTTTGTATTTTGTATGGTTTCTTGGGTAACTCTTCCAGTAGCAGGGATAATTTTATATTATTCTTTCCATTCATTCCCTTTTATCTGGCTCCCTTTCCCTTTGTGACAAATACCATGAAGAAGATCATTAAGTGGTATTCCAGTGAGATGCAACATTTATGTAAATTGATTTAGTTAAAAGAACATAATTATTTTATTGATTTTCACACTAAAGAAAATGTGTCATTGCACTTGTTACATGTCATATTAGAAACCATACAAAAAATTTTAGGATAATAGGAAAAAGAATTGGGGCAAAGTTTGCAAAGAAATGCTAGCAACAAGAGAGCAGTAGCATCTTAAGAATCAGGAAAACTCTTTTTCCTAAAGCACTACATAGATTCAATGTAATCTCTATCAAATATCCAAAGGCATTTTTTTTTTTTTTTGCAGAAATAGAACAAGAGGATCATAAAATTTAATTGGAACTACAAAAGACCCTGAATAGCCTTCTGTTTATCACTACTCTGTTGTCAGAATACAAGAATATAACAATTTGTTTTGGTTGTGTTTTTTTGTTTATTTACCTTGGTTGTCTTCACATATGAGTAAAATCATAAGGTATTTGAAAAAAAGAATCAGGAAAACTAATGGAACTCTGGTACACATCACTATAAAAACATTTCAGAGGGCGAGGAAACCTCCCCACTTGGAGCTTCGATTATGATTCCGAACCTTATATTACAGGAGTGGTAATGATGCATCAATGAAGTCAGTCATGATAACAAAAGATCTTTAGGTCATTGCTTCCCCGGGACACTAAAAAAATAGAGGTCAGTACTCATTCTTAAGAAGGAAATGAGGGCCTTCCCAGTGGGGCAGCGGTTGAGCGCTGGGTTGTTAAGCTGCCTGCAACCTCTGCAACGCCGGTTCGATTCCCGGCCACCGGGTGAGGGTCCCACATGGCGCGCAGACCTTTCCTGCCTCCCGCTGCTCCCCTCAACACTGTACTTCGTCGGTCTGCCTGCTCTGCTCCCTACTCTGGCTCTGGTGAATTCTCTCACCCTCCCGCGCTTCTGACTGTACCCAGTGCTTGTATAAATAAATAACTCTTTTTTTTTTAAAAAAAAGAAGGAAATGAAAGGTGAACATGACTAATGCAGATAAAGTTTACAACATAGAACAGGTAAATTTATCTATCTATCTATCTATCTATCTTTCTATCTATCTGTCTCTGAAAGGAAGCTCTTCAAGGATATAATAGTTCAAAAGCAAGAGGGCATGAAGTAGAACAAAGAAGGACTGACATTTAAAGAATGTTTTTTAAAAGAGTGTAGTTTGTTTTTTTTTCAAAAGAGAATCTGTACACCTATGTCTACTGCATCACTATTTACAATAGGCAGAACCTGGAAACAACCCAAATGCCCCAAAATAGATGACTGGATCAAGAAGAAGTGGTACACACACACAATGGAATATTATTCAGCAATCAAAAAAGATAAACTCATGCCATTTGCAGCAATGTGGATGGAGCTAGAAGGAATTATGCTCAGCAAAATAAGCTTGAAGGAAAAAGAAAAATATCAATGGTTTCACTTATAGCAGGAATATAGGGGAGCCAAATAAGACTCAGTGTAAAAAAATATTAACAGTACAAAACACAACAAAGCGAAATGGACAATTATAAATCAGAGACATACTGCAGGGGAGGAGGAGGGAGAGGGATGCGAGGGAGGGAGGGAGGAGCACAGGGGACTGAGGTGATGATGCACGGGTGCATTGGTGAAGGCAACTCTATGAGGACTACATGTGAGGGGGTGGGGGGAAGCAAATATTGTTTGAAAATGAACAATGATGTAAACAAAAAATAATTAATTAAAAAAAATTAAAAAAAGAACATTATTCCAAATTGGCTCAAAAGGAGTTTCATAAGTCTTGTAGAACTTATGCTAATTTTTCTTTCCTATTACATTGTCTTTTATTTCTTCTTGACCCAAAGGGTCAAAGGAGTTGAAAACAAATACAGTTAGAGAAATAACACCTTTATTTTTATTTATTTTTTTCAATAAAGAATTTTTTTTAAAGATTTATTTATTTATACATGCACTGGGTATAGTCAGAAGCGCGGGAGGATGAGAGAATTCACCAGAGCCCGAGCAGGGAGCAGAGCAGGCAGAAGGACCAAAGTACACTGCTGAGGGGAGCAGCGGGCAGCAGGAGAGGTCTGTGTGCTATGTGGGACCCTCCTCCGGTGGCCGGGGAGCAGCTGGGGATCGAACCGGAGCTGAAAAGCTGCTGGCAGCTTCGCAACCCAAAGCTCAACCGCTGCGCCATTGGGGAGTGCTGCACCTCCCCCTGCAGTGACCCTTAGGGCTAATGGCTTGCTCCACGGTCCCTAGGTCCGGCTGGGCAACCAGCGTGCAGGGGGAGAACAGCAAAACCCACTGAAGACATACCTGCTGCACCTCCCCCTGCAGTGACCCCTAGGAATCCCTAGGTCTGGCTGGGCAACCAGCGCGCAGGGGAAGAACAGCAAACTCCCTGAAGACATAGATAAGATGGAAGCCTGTTGAAAGATAACGACCACCAGGAGCCACTACAGGAATGTTGTCCTCCCGGAAACTTATCTCACCTTCTCTAGACCCACAAACTTCATTCTAATACAACTGTCCCTATAAAATCTTTTCTCTTTCTAAAATCTTTTCTCTTTCTCTGTCAAAAAAGGTCATTGGTTTGCTGATTAAAAAAGAACATACGAAATCTAATAACTAGGCTGATTCAAATGAAACATTACTAAACTCTGTGTATTAATAGAACTGTTAGCTTAATAATTTCTCTGTTGTATGCTTAGCCTTGTTAGTATTAATCTTAATGATAAAAATATTACATTGTGAAAAGTAAAATTCACCCGTGCTAATTAATAGTAATTTAGTGGTAGTGAGTAGTTTAAACAAAAAGTATTCACATAAAATAAAAAGAAAAATTAATAGCCTAACTACTTAGGAATGCGCCTGAGTCCAGATGTAAATCACTGCTCTGTCAATGATAAGCTAAACCTATAAGCAAGCTGATTTCTTCACTGATGTTCGCCTTTCCTATGCTTTTAGAAAACATATATATACTGGTCACCAACTCAAATTAAATTACACTCAGATTTTCACTCTTGAAGTGTGTCTGTCATTTCTTTAACCAAATCCCTGACCACCCTGCGCAGTCTCTCAACCCTGATACGGCCTCATCGTTCACTGCTGTGCAAGTCTGCGGCAGGGGAGGCCCAGAAATAACACCTTTAAAACCACTTTTTCTAACATACAGTCCAACTTCTCAAAATGGCAATAAGTCTGTTAAAAGCAATACTGCTGAGCGTGGCATGTGCAAAGACTCCCAATATTAAAATCCTTTAAGTTTGTAACATCTTCCCTAATAATTCTGCTCTACGGAGGCTATCCTCAAGAAGTGGAAATGTACAGAAATTTGCAAAACTGAACATTTGAAAGCAATTAAAAGCATAAGCAATGTTACACACTGATGAAAAGAACATATTATAGTGATGGCACAGAAAGACAGTGTGATGGAGCCATTACAAGCACAGATCTGAGTCTGAACACCGATCACAGGGAAGCTTCAACTTTCTACTCATTTATGATGATATCTTTATAACAGAGATGTCTATATTAACTTTATAATCAGGTAGGGAAGTCAAATTTTTTATGCTGAAAAATTTTTGTTGACATTTCTGTCATTTCATAAAACATCTTTTGTTGACATTCTACAAATGATACCATCCAGTAATGTCCCAATACTTTCTTCTTGTGAAGATAATTTATATATCTTTTTGACGTCTGTAATATTTGTTATTTCAGGAAGACTGTTCAGAGAAACTTGATGACCTTCTACCTGAGAGATAAGGTATTCTTGATTTATCTGCTTTTCTCCCTCTTCAACATAAACGATTAGAATTGAAGTATCATTTGCTGAGATACCAAATTTTTTCAAAGCCTCTGAAATATTATTATTTGGGGAAAAGTTGAAAATAATTTCAGTAGACAGAGTTCTTGTTTTCATTTTTCCCAGTTTGTAGAGGTGAACTGCTTTATTTGCTGCCACAAGTATCTGAAATGGATCGACAATCATTGTAGGGTTTATTAATGAACCATCAATGGCACCTTCCATGGCCCTTTTTCTCAAATCGCCAGCATTTTTTACATCTTTAAATAACAGAAGGGTCATCCTGCATTCGGGAAATAGGTCCAGCTGATGAGTTAACTGCATTTCATAGATAAGCAGGATTCTCTAGCTCTCCCTTCTCAGCACCACCCGGCCCAGCCTGGTCCAGCCAGATCGCGAGCCAGGAACCCGCACCGTCGCGTCTCCCATCCGTCTAAAAGAGTGTAGTTTTTAAAAGAGTGTGTCAATAATGGCTAAAGGTGCACGTGGGATTTTCTGTTTAGGAGGAAAAAATATATTAGATTCCTATGTATAATCATGGAACAAATTGGAAAGTGTTGCAAGTAAGACCTTAGAGTCTTTCATGAACTTTTGTCTTCTATCTTAGTATATACAATACTTCATGGATTGTTCAGAGGTAAAGATCACATCTATTGGACAATTGACCTTATATACTACATTTAATTAATTGCTGGCAATCGTATATCAAAATATATTTTGAATAAATATATATATTTATTTGAACTACACCAGCTTAAGGGTAAAAATTAGAGCAAATTGTACTTTTTTCTGAATTTAGTTTTATCACATGCTATTTCATGATTTTCATTATCTGTCAGATCTTGTCTACACATTTCTGGAGATGTCCAGGGCATCTCCTGTGGTCTCAAAGATGTTCTTTTTAACTGTTGGTGGCTGTGTAATACATTTTACTTGCTGTTTCAGTGCCCACAGTCTCCTAGTAGTCATAGTCTGTAGCCACCACCACCAAATACCAGCGCTTCCTTGGTGTATTAAGGCAGCATTTACCCTGTGGACCCTCCAGTGAATTGTAGGGTGCTTAGCTACACACAGCCTGCCCTGCAGAGGTGGGAGGGTGTCTCCCATGTTGGGTTTTGTTTGCCATGTGGATACTAAACCAGTGCTCCCTTGGTGAAGGTGCATTAGACATTTTAGTGAAAAGATCCCATACATATTTTTGTTTCAATATAGGGTTGAATGAATGGGTCAGGGCAGATGGCTTATAAGAAACATGTGCTTTTTCTATGCTGATGACTAAGGTTTTGTTACTAGGCTTAGTTATTTATATTATTTGTGCATATTCCTTCCCTAGATGCCTGCTTCTCAATCTTGAATGCAAACAGATTTCTGTATTTTCCTTTGTTCTCTCAAAGTTGTTCAGAAAAGATTTAGACATATCTAAAGTCCAGAAACAAACTTTTTACTAAAGTGGGTAATCAGTTTGAATAATGAATATTAAAAAATAAGGCCAAACAAAACAATACAGCGAAGAGGTAGAGAAGAAGTAATAGAAGGAGAAAAAGGGCAAAAAATCAGAAGGTAAAAATTAAAAGTAATAGTAAAGCAGCTTCCCATTTGATTTTCTTCCATTGTTCCACATTTTTGTCTTTCATTAGTTCTTTGATTCAGATGTCTCTTAGTTTAATATTCAACATATCCCTTCTAATGGTATCAAAATTGATTATTTCCTATCAGATGGGATCAATTATATCCCACCGAAATCTTGACGTTCTACAAGTGAGATAGTGGAAGCAATTTCATGGTTCAAATGAAATTCGTTTTGAAGTGGTAACTACTGTATAGACATCCAGCTTTATTCTTTTTATTTCTGAGAGAATGCCAGAAACCCACTTCTTTGTTTACTGAAGAGAAAGAGATTCTCTTTATAGCTCTTTCTGATTCTCATTGCCCCCTGTTTTATGCTATAATTTTTTTTGTTGGTGGCTGGTGTCATCTTTAATGTAAGTTTTCATGGCATAAAATTTTTGTCTTCAAAAACATAAGTTGTCGCTTCAATCCGGTTGAGCAGATAAGTTTTACATATTTCAGTGACAACAGCACAGCCATGAGCCCCCAAACATAGCAAGTTGAACTGTGTGAACTTTGGTTCCTTTAATTTCTGGAGGATAGGGCACCTCACAGGCAAGGTGAGGCAAGCCTCTGATGCTGGGAAACCAGCCATTTCTATGCTTGCATAGATTTCTGTTCTCAAAGAGGAGCAACATCTCACGTTCATAGACCATTAACTGTAGTTGCTGCATCAGTGTTGGCTATAAATGGCCAAATTAGGGAATTATATCAAGCTTCTCTTCTAATCATTGAAACCTGCTGGAGAATTTAAAGTAGTCCAGTTTTAAAATTGAGATAATTATAATTATAAATTATAATTATAGTTTATCATGCAGTTATGATAAATAAAATGGAGTAATCTTTTGTATACTGTCTAGTTTTCCCAGTAATGCCAGTGATAGTTTACTAACAAACAGTGTATGGACATGCATACAGTCCACCAAGCTTACTCAGAATTGCTTGTACTCATACACATACATGCATGTATGTATTGTATGTTTGCATATATGTGTATGCCTATTAAGTTCTGTACAGTTTGATCATCCTATAGGTTCACGGATCCACCACCGCAGTCAAGATACTGAACAGTTCCAACACCACAGCTCCCTCAGATGCACTTTATGGTCACACTCACCACCTCCCATCTGCTCCCCAACTCCATACTCCTTAAACAACCATTAATCTGTTCCTTCGTTCATTTCACCATTCATTAATATTATATAAGTGGAATCATACACTGGGTAACCTTTTTCAAAAGTATGCTCTATTTTTTAGAGCTTTTAAGGTTCACAGCAAAATGGAGCTTGTAATACAGAGTGCCAGTACCACCATCTCCACCACAGCAGCACACACATTACAATCAATAAACCTATGTTGACACATCTTTATCATGCAAATGCTGTGGATTATATCTCTTATATAGGGTTCACTTGTGATATGCTTATTCTGTGAGTTTAACCAAATGCATAATGACATATATCTACCATTACAGTATCAGAGAAGTATTTTCACTGTCCCTAAAATTCTCTGTGCTGTGCCCATTTCTCCTTCTAAATCCCTACAACCACTGATTTTTTACTATCAACATAATTCTACCTTTTTCAGAATGCTATATAGTTGGATTGGGAAATTGACATTTTTCATATACTACAATTCTCTGGACATCCATCAAAGTTGTTCCATGTATTAATAATTTCTTCTTTTTTATTGCTGTTAATATTCCATGATATGGATGTACCACACTAAATATTCATCTGTTGATGAGCATCAGGATTGATGCCAATTTTTGGCAATTATGAATAAAGCTGCTACTTTTTGTGTGAATGTAAATTTTCAATTTTGGGGGATAAATGTCCAGGAGTGCAATTGTTTGTACTCGGTGGTAGTTTAGTTTTAGTTAAATAAGAAACTGACAAATTGTTTTCCAGAATGGCTTAATCATTTTACACTCCCACCAGCTATGTGTGAGTGATCAGTTTCTCTCTCTATAGCCTTCCCAGCCTTTGATGTTGTCACTTTGTATTTTGGGTGACAATTCCAGAGCTCCTCCCAGCTCTAGATTCTGAAGAATTTTTCTTGTGTAAATTTTTTCCTAAAAGTTTTGCAGTTTCAATTTATATTTGCTTATGATCCATTTTGAATTAATTTTTGTAACACCTAAGACAGATCATTTTGCCTATATATGTTCATTTGATGCAGTTATTTGTTGAAAAGACTAACCTTTTGTTGAATTGCTTTTGTATCTTTGTCAAAGATTAGTTAAGCATACTTACTTTAGTCCATTTTGGGGTTCTCTATTTTGTTTCATTGATCTATGTGTCTGTTACTGAGACAGTCTATTTCTGTGATCTGATTTGATGAATGCAAATACTAGAAATTAATTCACTATGTCACGATTTTAAGATCAATAGTTTATGGTCATTCCAAAATTTTCTTGTTTGTAAAAACTGAACTGGTGAAGCTAAAAACTGAAATAAAGAAGATAGCTAAAATTTTCTGGGAGCTTTGATTTCTTTTGTAACATTTAATTTGCACAACAATACTGCTAAGTGAAACTGGGGAAACTGAAGCACAGAAAAGTTAAATGGCACTTCAATCAGAATATGACTCTGACTCTTGAGTGAGGACAGTTATTGACAATGCTAGACAGTTTCTTACAGTGATAATTCTATCACTGTAGAAGCCCAGGTAACATTGGGCCTCCCCAGTGGCACAGCGGTTGAGCGCTGGGTTGCGAAGCTGCCTGCAGCCTCTGCAGCGCTGGTTCGATCCCCAGCTGCTCCCCGGCCACCAGAGGAGGATCCCACATGGCGCGCAGACCTCTCCTGCCTCCCGCTGCTGCCCTCAGCACTGTACTTCAGTCCTTCTGCCTGCTCTGCTCCCCGCTCTGGCTCTGGTGAATTCTCTCACCCTCCTGCGCTTCTGACTGTACCCAGTGCTTGTATAAATAAATAAATAAATCTTAAAAAAATATATATTAAAAAAAAAAAAAAAAAGAAGCCCAGGTAACATTGCTCAAGAGATTCATCTTTTAATGCCATTTTGAAAGTTTTCACCTACATTTTGCCAAGAAGCTGATCCATAACACAAATAAATATGTAATTTAAAAACAAAAAGTGACTGCCTAAAAGTATATAGAATTTTCTGAAAGACATCTTTGATGTTTAAACAACGTTGCTTAATTTTCCTTGCTACTTGATGACCTTTACTTTGATAATATCTACCTAATTTTTGTATTAATTTTTAATTATTATAATTTGTTATAGTTAACTTATAACAGAATTAATAATAACCAAAAGATAGATATATCCTTATGACCCTAGGCGGTGTTTATTGGCTTATGGCTCTTTTCCCATGACTTGATTTAAATTGCACCTTGCATACATATAAATTCTTGCTTTAATCCTTTCAGAAATGAGTTTAGCTTTTTTTTTTAATTGGGAGAAGAAAAATGAGTTGTCCATGAAGACTTCCCCACTGGGTATTCTGACATGCTAAATGAAAAGTTTATAAAGTTCTTTAAATTCAATTAAAGGATTTGAAAATATTGCCTTAAAAAACTTTGAAGGTTTTATTACTGAGGTTATGTGACCTATTGTTATCATAGTATTTTCTTTCACTTTCATAATATTGCTGACATTTGATACTTTTCTGTTGTCATATGTTACTGACTATGATGGGCTAAACAATGACTTCATCAAAGATGTCCATATCCTGATCCCTGGAACTTGTGGCTGTTTTCTTATATGGCAAAAGTG